GGACCCCCACCCCGCCGGAGCCGCGGCTTCCGCGGCCCCTGGAGGCACAAAGTCACCCTCAGTACTTCAAGCCACCGGTCCAGAGCAGAGCCAACCCGGGTACTGTCACGTCCGACAATGAAACAAACAATTGTAACTTTTGAGACGTGCACACAATGCTCAGGGTGTAATTTTTTGTAAAACTTCACTTACAGGCTTCAAATTTCCACTGTTAAGTGCCGTGGCTAGAGAAGTAACACCGAGTTCTAGAGTTGGGATTCAGGCACCGAGGCGCTCAGTTTACCGTACTGCACAGCAGGAACGCTCATGGAATCAGCTCCATGTCACACAGCTGCTCCCACCGCAGAGGAACACCTTCCCCAGGAGATGGGTGAGGAGGAAACTCTCGGGTGTCCACACTGCTGCTCAGGATTACAGTGAATCAAAAATTTGTACTAAGTGCTCAGGGCCAGTTTAGGACAAACCAAATTCTTTTCCTTACTTAAAAATGGAGGAAAAAAAAGAAAGTGGACACAGCTTTTGTAAAGCATTTGTGCAGGCGGTGTCAAAGGGAGAGATCCTCTGCTCTGAGCTTGTCCTTGTTGGAGCCTGTCTCTGGGGGATGCAGAGGAGCAGGACCCACACCCCGGGGGGCTGGCGGGGTGTGGGGTCTGACAGTCCCACCCTTGCAGGGACAGGGTGGGCCCAGACTCACACTAATGCAGCTCCAGGGGATCAGGCAGGCTCAGCTTCTGGGAGCCCCAGAGGGTCCTCAGCCAGCAGGAGCATCTCCAATTTCCAGGAGGCTCCTGCCCTTTCCTTTCCCGAGTTTGACCTGCATCTGATAGAAGTCACTGTACTCCTTTCCTTGTACAAAAGCAAGATCAGGTTTAGACAGAGAGCTTCAACCATAGATGTAAAATGCACCATATCCATTTGTACTTCCATTTACACCTAGAGACCCTACAGTACAAGTCACCAAATATCACCATATGGGGAGAAAATTAAGCTGGTTGATCACCTTCCAACAGCTGGTCTGCAGCACATCCCAAACTTGAGGGGCTCTGGCAGGGAGAACACTACCTTTGAAACTTTGGGTCTGAGTGTCCCTGAGGGGCAGAGATGTTTGAACAACAGTGAGTTATGCCATTCCACAAGTAAATCCATTTCTGCAATGATTCCCTGAGGACTCCTTTCATCAGAGCTGAAGGACCACATTCAGCAGAACTGTTTCTGCTACTTCTGTCACATCTAAAGGCCTCCCATGGGGCTGTGATGAAAAAACAGTCAGACATAGGTGTTTTACTTAGGTAGTTCTGATGGAGAAGAAAAAGCACTTGCTACAAAGATCTGAAGATGAGCAGAGCAGGGAGATCAAGGGATGACCCAGGGATAAAAAACAGGTGCCTTGAAGGGAGGGCAAAGTGGCTCAGGGGTGGATAAGATGGAGATTTAAGGTAAGCAGGAAGCCCTGGAGTGTCTGTGTATCCAAACAGGCATCTTACTTGTCTTTCCTGCTAACCTTGCTACTGCTAACAAAAACACTTCATCACCACAAATGTATACTTTTGCACATTACCTTCTCTGTATCTTCCCTCTGCTGTGACATCTGCAGTGTTTGCTCTGTTCAGGGGATTAGTGTGGCACAGCACTATCTGGCTTAGAAACCCAATTCCCCAAGTATTAGAGGCACAAGCTGCAGGAAGGAAAGCTGATTTCCCTAGGCTGGAATGAGAGTGCAGATATTCCTTCTTCATGGTTCAGTTGACTGCCATTAATTAACACCTTTCATTAGATGGGCTTTTTCCAAGCCTGTTCCATTTGTGCCCTGTGAGCAGATTTCCCCTGTTTGCTGCAGCTCAGTGTTAACTCAGGAGTAGCTGCAGGGCTGGCAGGGACCAAGCAGGGACCAAGAGAAATAAGGGAGCAGGACTCCAACATGTAGTGCAAAGGCCATCCAAAAGGGCTGGCCCAAGGTGAGGAGTGCCAAGGCTTCCAACTGAAGCCAAGCATTCTTCACCACAACAGGGCTTTTTTCTTGGCAACTCCTTCATCCTCACCCAGCTGTGAGCTCCAAACAGGGTATCTGTCCAGTACCATCCACACCCCAGTGTCCCTTTACACACTGCTGCAGTACAGCTCTCCTCACACACCATTTTACTGCAGGAGTCCCATCACCCTGGAGGAATGTTTAGCAAGTTTTTTATGTTTTCTTGGATGGACACCATACCGTGAACTTTCCTACTAGTGCAAACCTCTCATTTGTTCTCCTGTCTGGAGCACCTCATTCACACAGCCTATATTGACTTGTTTGCATTTATGTCTGACTCAGACACTGCAAGGAAGATCACAGAATCCCAGACTGGTTTGGATTGGGAGGGACTTCAAAGCTCATCTTGTTCCACACTCTGCCATGGGCAGGACACCTTCCACTATTCTCAGGTTGCTCCAAGCCCTGTCCAGCCTGGCCTTGGACACTTCAGGGATGGGGCAGCCACAGCTGCTCTGGGCAACCTGTGCCAGAGCCTCAGCACCCTCACGGGGAGGAATTCCTTCCCAATACTCCATCTAACCCTGCCCTCTGGCAGTGTGAAGCCATTCCCTTGTAAATAGTCTCTCTTCATCTTTCCCGTAGGCTCCCTTCAGGTACTGCAAGGCTACAGTTAGGTCACCCCAAAGCTTCTCTTCCCCATACTGAACAATCCTAATTTTCTCAGTCTTTCCTCACAGCAGAGTGCTCCATCCCTCTGATCTTCATGGCCTCCCCTGGACTCACTCCAGCAGCATCACATCCTTCCTGTGCTGGGGACCCTAGAGCTAGATGCAACTCTGCAGTTGGTGTCTCATGAGAGCAGAGAACAAGTTAATCTTTCCCCCTTCTGTGTACCTGCCCTTGCCATTCTAGACCAGCTCTCCTCTTCAGACAAAGGCTGGCTACCAGTTCCTTGTTCCAACACCCTCCATCCTAGTCTGGGCCTGTTTGGTTTAATTGTGTGTCACAGCAAGAGCACTGCTCTAACATCCACCAAGTGCTAGTGCCATTGGCCTAGCACAACAGGAACACTGAGAAGAGCAGCTTTAGGAAATGCCATACCCTGGACTTCTGAGCAGACAGCAGATATCTGCTCTTGTGACACTGCAAAAGCCAAGCAAACATCTCCCAGAGGCTCTGCAATGAGCAATACTCAGGGAAATATAACATTCCACAAGCTCCACTCCAGAATAATCCAGAACCAAGCTGGAGGAGATCCTGCCCAGGAGGTGCACTACCATGTCCAGGGACCATCAGCACCACACAGGGACTGGAAATTCCACTGAAGCCAAAACCCTCATTTCATCAGCACAGTCTGGCCTAATTAGAGCTCTACATGTCTAAAGGAGCACAGGGCAGGGAGAGATGTGCTGAGCTTCTCTGCTCTTTAAGAAAATAGGTTCCTGGGAACAAACAAATTTAATAAGCAGAATCTCTGACAGATCAAACCAAACCAGTTTTCCTGGGCAAACCAACAGCCTGTACAAACCTGCAACGTAGTCCAAGTGTCATCATCAAGGCTAGGAAAGAGGTGTACATTTTCCAGCTGCTCCCAGAGATAGTGATGCACATCAGTACCCTTGAGAAACAGGGTGACAAGTGACAAGGCACTGTGATCTTAGGATCCTGGTTAAAATGATGGAGTATTCTGAATACATTGGGCTCTGGACATTAACAGCATAGTTCCCAGCTCAGACACCATACTGGATCATGCTCTCATGACAGGGCAGACTGCCTGTGTCACACTGTGCCCTGAGTGAAGCTCAGCAGAAGCACTCAGATGGGGAATTGCTGGCAACTTTTGCTACAACAGAACCATTGGTTTTAATCTAGAGATGCCCTGGTATGTCTCTGCCTTTCCTCCAGAAGCTGCCCCTCCATACCCCTGTCCCTCTCTGTGATCTCTTCTGCACTCCAGGGGAGCCAAAGAGCCCCAGCAGCTCCTAACTCCTCAGGCTGGATACGTCAGTACAGGAAACCCTGCTGAGGGGCCTGCGGAGGGGGCAGGCAGGAAACCTGAGCCTCAGCTGTGGTCTGGAACCAAGTGGCCAAGGACAGAAGTCCTCCAGCTGCACACAGGTCCAGTGGGGACTGTCAACAGCCAGGTAAGAACAGCTGGTGAGCATGTGGAGCCAATATGGAAGCTCTCCTGCAGTTGTGCAACTTCCTTCAGCACTACTTTTATTAATAAAATTCTGTAAGTCCCTTACCCTATCATTAGCTGCTATTAAAGCTGAGTAAAGCCTTACTCCAAATCCTTGCCCAGACTACCCTAAGAACAAGGATAAGCAAACCACAGCTGTTGGAAGTGCTGGAAAGGCAGAGCTGAGGTGCAGTTTCACACGCCTCACCTTGCTCCCAGGCAGTCACTGACTCACACTCAAGTAATTTGGGCTGTACCTTCCTGTGCTTCAGCATGCAAGTGACAGCAGTGTGGGACACAACCTGCTTCCAGGCAGGACATGCAGCAGGTGGGATTCTCATGGTGTGGAGGTTGACATGGGACCTGTCACCAGTGTAGCACTGACAGGCAGTGAGGGTGAGGCTTTGAAGTTCATTATCTTAAGGCAGGTGCCTAAAATAGGTCAGGGTAACCTCACCCAACCCCCCCACCCCACCCCTTGCTGCTCTGCACTGACTGTACAGGGAGCCTGGGGTGACTCGCTCAGCCCCAGGCCTCAAAGCCTGAGAAAGTGAAACCCTGGCAACAACAGAGCAACTTGGGAAACACAATTTTGCCACAATGTATGAAACCACAAAGCCTATCTTTTTTTTTTCTGAGAAAAAACACTTAGTGAGAATGAAAATGCTGCTTCTCTGCCCCAGCCCCTTGGATGCAGTGAAACAAGGTACCATCACAACCAGTCCCCCAGGATTTTCTGAACTCAGCTGTGCTTTCTGACAGGACAAGCAGAAGCAGCATGAAGCCTCCCAACAACTCAGCAGACAGTGCCCTGTGCCAGCCCTGCACAGCCCTCTGTCCCTGTGTGCAACTGCACTATGTGGCTACACCAAATAAACCCCTGCCCCTCCCACCATGCCGTGACACCCCTGGGCCTAGGCAAGGAGAGAAGCTGGTTCTGCAGAAAATGTTTAATTAGCAAATCTTGTTCCTAGTCAGGTTTCCTGCCTCTGCTACAGCCAAAATCCCCCTCGGTTACCCAGACATGCTCCAGGACTCGCTTTCAGACACACCAGGGGTGACATTACCAAGGCAGTGAGGACACTTCATTAGCTTGGGAAAGGGCACAGGATTCAGGGATCCTTGTACCCAGGTACCTGCACCTGCATTCCAAATGGATTTACACTCTCAAATTCTCCTACCAATCTACTAGCCAGGTTTCAATCAAAGCCATCTAAGCACCCATGGATCACTTAAAATACACTAAAAATTTACAGTCCAAGTCTGAACAGACAAGGAGTTGTCTATTAAAACCCAGACTTAAACCTGAGTTTTAAACCGCTCTTTCACTGATAGAGCTATGGAAAAACTGCTCCTAAAAGGGGATTTAAAGGTGCAGAAATAGCTGCAGATCACTTAAGTACAATGGAGAATGTGCAAGAGCTACATGAATTAAGGCAGAGAAGACATTTCAGTCAATGGTGATGACAAAGGTGACAATGTCAGCAAAGGTGGCAAGAACCCACATGAATCATACCAAGGCCGACTGATACTGAGTATGGGAGAAGGCACACAGCTTAAAAGCAGCTGGGGAGCCAACAGGCACTTAAAGAGGAAATGGTGGCATTAAACAACCTGGAAATTGAAATAATTTAGGAGCTTTACAGTCAAAAAATTAGGCCTCCAAATGCAGAGTTCTGAGGGAGTTTCACAAAGGAATCTTGGATACTGTCCTCATGCCTGGAACCACACACATCTGAAGAAGATGATGTAAAAAATTCAAAGTCTCCAACAGACATTAGAGTATCTTTCACAAGGAAGTACAAGATTACCAAGAAAAGCCTTTAGTGACCACAAATACAACAGTAAGGATTACTCTTGATCTGCCAGCACCTACAATTAGCAAAAAAAAAGGGTGTATCAGCACAGGTGAAGTGCCTGTATGAGTGTTTAATACAACCAGTCCAAAGTAAACACAGTCTAAAGCAGTATGGGGTCAAGCTGTCCCCCTCAGTGTCATCAGGCAGATCCAACACATGCAGACACTTACCAGACATTAAGTACTTGCAGGCAGTAACAGTAACGAAGCCAGTGCACATATGTTCTAATAGGCAAAGCTGGAGCCAAAACACTCTGCTAGGATCTGCAACAGCAGTGAACAAGCAAAGAAACAGGCATAGAATTTGAAAACACAGAGAGGAAGATAAACACTAAACACAGCAATAAGTAAAACAAGAAACAGGAGTACTCTGCATGGAAATGCCAGTAACTTGCTGGAATGATGAGGGAAGTTAGGGAATAGGAACCCCCATCTCTGGGTGCCATATGTTCACTGCAAGGCATTAACAGCAGATTGAAAAGCATTTGTGGACAACGGCAGAAACTGTTCTATAACATACTGAGACGTGACTGGGACACTTCCATGCATGCATGGGCTCTGCCTTCCACATAAACACGCCACAGAAGTTGAGAAGAAAAAAGGCAGAAACCATTCTGTTCCACTCAGCAGGGAACAGTGGAGTCTGTGGTTCCACAGCAGCTGTAGCTGAGCCCTGGTACCCCACAGTTCCCTGCTCCAGCACCCAGCTGGTCCTACACTGAGGTCAGTAAGAGCAAAAGAAAACAGCCCTTCTTGCAGGAAGGGATTTGTTGGGGTTTTTTTCCCAATTTAACACAAAGCTCAGTGCCAAGGGCAGTGTAAAAGTGAAAACTTGATTGCATGGGTGAGACAAGACAGATAGTAATAGCCAGCAGGTAAGATACTATATATATGTATAAATAAAAGTAACTCAGCATAGGGCATTGCTCTGGCAACTTGTGCAGAATTGCAGAGAATCAACTCCAGAACTGCTAGAAGACAGCACCAGGCTCATTGTGGGACATCACAAGCTTTTGAGAACACTGCACACCAGCAGCAGCCACCCAAGGCAGGTTCCACAACAGAGTTTGGAAATAACTGAAAAGCCACAAAGGTCCCCACTCTCAGCAGAGCAAGTGAAGTGCAGCTTTTGCAAGTGGTGGTGAGAACATGAAATACAATTGACAGTTGCAGCCACAGAGCTCTAACAAATGGAAAAGCAACACCAAGATGCTGAAGGTCTTTGCACCCTACTTGTAGAACACTGCTTGGAATCCCTCCCCAATCTGAAGCTCTGCAACAAGTCCCTCACAGCAGCTGCCTCTGAAACAGGAACTGGAGCACTGACAAACCTCAGGGGTTCTTGTCCTGGAGAAAGGACAGATGAAAAATGCAGGGTAAAAATCACAGAAACATTGAGACTGGAAAAAATTGGAGTCCAGCTATTCTCCTAGCACTGCCATGTTTATCACTAAACCACGTCCCCAGGTGCCAAATCCACAATTTTTAACATTTTCAGGAATGGTGACTCCACCACTGCCCTGGGCAGCCTGTGCCAGTGCTTGACCACCCTTTTGGGAAGGCATTTTCCCTAACATTTAATCTAAATCTCCTCAATACAACTGGAGGTCATTTCCTCTTGTTCTGTGCCTTGAGAGCAGAGCCTGACCCCACCCTGGCTGTCCCCTCCTGTCAGGGACTTGTGCAGAGCCAGAAGGTCCCCCCTGAGGCTCCTTTTCTCCAGGCTGAGCCTCCCCTCAGCTCCCTCAGCTGTTTCTGAGCCAAGTCTCATTAAGTTTGAGCCATTTTAGACAGAAGAATTTGTCCCAATTTAAGTCTTCTGAAGTCAAACACAACTTCTGGACTTTACAGCAACAGGCACTTAGAATTAAGTCAGTTTTCAAAGTTTTCTACCTTCAGAATGGACAGAAAAAGCCCACTTCTGCCCTTTACCTTCTTTCTCCTGATCCCCTTGATACTGCAAAAGGATCCCAGCACACCTAGCTCAGGCTACAGGTAAAAACAGAAGCAGTACTTGGAAAAGTCAATCTCACCCAGCAAACAAAAGGCACAGATTGGGAGAGTCACAGACTGCCCAAGTACCTCTGTCCCTGACCTGGGGGATGCAGTGTCCCACTAGCAGAGCTGGCTGGTGTGTAAGAGCAGAGACAGAGCCCAGCAATAGCATCTCACCATTTCAAGCCAAAACTATTTAGAGATAAAAGAACTGCAGCTTAGGAGGAAGCCCCAAACAGGCCCTCAGCACAGCAGAGGCAGTTCAGCATCACCCATCACCTCCTGAGGGGAGCAGAGATGAAGGGATGTTGTTTGGGGCAGAATTTTCTGGAGACCTGATTGGACCCACATGGACACGAACCTCAAAGTCATCTGGAACATTTTTATCCACTTCTCTCTTAACATCTGATTTCCAGTCCCAATCTTATAAAGTGAATTTCCATATTCCCGCCTGTGATCAGGACTTGCTTCCCACTTTTTGAAACTCACAAAGAAAGGCTTAAACCCTTGTTCCTCCCTCAGCTTTTCAGCTGACATATTGAAATCACAACCGCACAATATTGAGCCAAAATTCAGAGAGCACTCACACACTTACTTCCACACAGAAGTCTGGAACAGTCCTTAAAGGCAAGATGAGCACATCCAGTGGGCTGCAATGCTTAATTTTAAAGGGACTCAGATCCATCTCCCTTTTTTTCTCCTAAAGAGTAATTCACTTAAGACTTCCCAAGTCTCTCCGAATTTCTAATTAACTGTTCAGCATTAAAAAAAGTAATTCCTAAATGTTTCTGGATCTTCAAACATAGTATTTACAGCTATTGTTTTCTAGCAAACATTTGAAAACAAGAATTTAACTTTTTGTGCCCAAGTACTCCAAGCTCCTGACAGACCAGGGAAAACAAAATAATGCTGCAGGAAAAGTGGGAAACCTGGTCCTGAAAGAGGGCTGGAAGGTTGAGAACACAGGGTAGTATCTTAGAGCTTAAGGACACCTTTAAACAACTCAACATGTTTTAAATCACATGAAGGATGCAAAGGAGAGTCTGCAGAAAGCCAAGGAACAGGGACATGGCAGCAGAAAGATGGAGACCAGATTTAATTGACTCTATTCACTGAAAAACTCCAGATAGTACCACTCCTCATGTGACTCTTGCCCTTTTTTTTTATTTAGTATCCTGGTATTCTCAGCATCTTGTCAGCCAACACCTACAAAACCTTCAGTGCAATGTAATTTTTCCCACTTCATCATGCTCCCATTCCTCCCCCCATTAACAGCCAGTTGAGACTCCACATCTTTAATCTACTTGCCTGACTTTCAGGAGAAAGCTGTAGATCAAAGTCTCTGCACAGCCTGGAAGTTACACTGTTAGTCTCCTTCAAGTTCAAACCCAGACAGAGCAAAGGGATTAATTGTTACCACCTCCCTAATACAAAGAAACCCCTACAACCCTTCCAGTGAGCCCTGCAATATGATGGAAAATTGTTCTTCAGCTCTTTACCGCTGAATTCACTTATAAGCTCACTCTTTGTTTTTGGAGTTCAAAAGAAAATGCTTTTTTGTTTGAAGTAGTTCTTTACAAATGTGACAAAACAGGCAAGATCAGGAGTCACCTAATTCAGTATCTTTTTCCTGACAGAAGACTCTGTGTTTTCCCAGCCATAACAGCTCACAGCTCCTGTCCAGGATACGGCATCTCCACATTTAGTACCAGACTCATTTTTCTTCCTAAACTTTTAAGAGTTATAAAAGAAATGTGACTTCAAAGGTACTACTGTGAGGGTGGGGAGGCCCTGGCACAGGCTGCTCCATCCCTGAAATGTTCAAGGCCGGGTTGGATGGGGCTTGGAGCAGCCTGGGATAGTGAAAGGTGCCCCTGCCCATGGCAGAGTGTGGAACAAGATGAGCTTTAAGGTCCTTTCCAACTCAAACCATTCTGTGACTTGACAAAAATCTGCAAAATAATTGGAATCTGCAGTTGCTACAAAACTTCAGTAAGGCCAGTGAAAAACCCAGCCCACCCCACTGAAATAGCTCTGCACTATAAATAGTGACCACTGTAGCTTTGTTTCTGTGCAGTATCTCCTACACACAGGAAACCATGGCCTGGTGCAAAGGCAGCCAGGTTTATCTGGCAGAGCAGAGGCACTGGAGCCCAGAGGCAATGGGCACAGGGCAGCACTGCTGCAGCTCTCAAGCTCTCTGCTCTCACAGGGACTGCAAAGCAGAGTCAGTACAGAAGGATGACAGCCTGGCTTGGCCAGCTTGCCAGAGTAGGGCAGGATGCTGACAGGAATGCCAGCAGGCCTAGTGAGGCTGAAGGCCTGGGACAAAACAACCAAAAGTTGTGTAAACATACTCATGTAAGCGGGCATAAAGTAATGGAATGAGTGAATGGGTGAACATCACCTATTTGATAGAATTTTAATTATCTGAGGCACAAAAGTTCTTTCTGATATTACTTGAGATCAGTTTATCTGTAGGAAGGAGGTAGAGGCATGTGTAGCTGTGGGTTTATGTTACCTCTGCTGCCCAAATGAGATTTTTATCATACAATTACACTGTGGCATACTTACTATAGAAATCAGAAATGTACATAATTATATATATAATATAGATATTAGCACATTAAAGAGGATTTGGATTGCTTTTTAAGAGGGCAGAGTGGGTGGAAATAAAATTCTGCTGCATTGCATTCTCCTGGAACAGCACCAGAACCATCCTAGAACAGATCTTACAGATAACACCAGAATTTACAACAAAGTTCACAGTGACCGCCATGGCTCCAACTCATTTCCTCCTCCTCCACCTCATGACTCACACAAGTTATTCTCTCAGGTGAGAGCTATTAATTGCCAATCTCAATACTGGAGAAAGCTGTGTCACCACACAGGTAAAGATATATTTAGTTACCACTAGATAATGGCTGCACTTCTGCCAGTGCAAACAGGCAGACTGTGCAAAGCACAAGTATGGGCGTTTCTTATCAAAGAAAACAACACAAAGTATAGAATTGGAGAAAGGCTTTCAGAGTGCAAAGCAAGCAATTTTCCTTAAAGTGACAGCTGACACCAACCTCTGCAAGTTTCAGAAGTTCACACTCTTACACTCAAATTTCAATTCAGTGCAAGATCTCCTCTACATTTCAGGAAGCGGGTGAACCACACATTTGTTAATTCAGCCATAGAGTCAGTAATTAGAACATGTTTAAGGATTTCTGCAGCTCACTGAAGCAAGAGCAGTTTTAGCAGGATTTTCCTGCTGTAATTATCTTGGCTTCATATCTGAGAAAAACCCTATCTTATCTTAGCTCAGCATGCACATGCCTACACAGAGAGCAGCTGCCCACTAGCTAAAGCAACAGGGTTTCTTAATATGATGAAGTTTCCAGTATGAAGTAGGCTGGAAATGTATAATGTGTTTTCAGCATCAGTCCCAGGCTACCAGGTGACACAGTATCTCTTGTGAAACCTTCCACCCATCATGTTGCAGATTACATCTTCTCTAAGTAACAATACATGTTACTTTTAAAAATTAAAAGCATAATGCCTCTCATCTAATGCCTACACAGAATGAGAATCCCAGGTTTTCAGAGCTCAGTATTCCATGTGCACAAGGATTTTACATGGCTGCTGAGTGCCCTGCAGAGCTTCATCACTCTACACACCTGGATAAAACAGGCACACCATGAGCCAAATCCCACCTCAGAGGAAGTGGCCTCAGTGTAAGTAACCCACCAATGCAGTAAAAACCAGTTCCTATTTGCAGGAGAGAGTAGGCCAGGCTTCAATGAAACCAAATTCCTCACAGAAAAGCCAAAACACTGATAAAAGATCCCACTAAAGGCCAGTTCAGAAACCCACAACTCCAACACAATTAACTTCCAAAGGAAATCATGGTGCTGCACTTGTGACACAGAGCACTCTCCATGTTCTGCTGGCAATACAGGATCCTCAGAATGAAAACCTGACACCTACATGACATCAGACAGCTCCATGCACATTTATCTCCGGGCACTGCCATCCCATTAAAACCTGAATGCTTGCCGACATGGAGTCGATCTGACTGGAATGCATGTGTCTGTCCCTGGGCACCACCAAACACATTTGCTTAATCAACCAGTAAGCAGGAAAATATGTTAATCAACAGGATTTCAAATTCATGACAGTTATGCCTACCCTGGAACATATAACCACAAGGAAAAACAAATGAGAAACTCACTGAAACACTGGCCACACTTAGCTGTGCTGAATGGCAGGAGGGTGATTGCCTGCACAACAGCAGGGCTGATTGTCTGAGACAACTAGTGAGATGAAGAAAGCACTAGAACTGCTCTCCCATCTTTGTAAAATTAGTAACTTCCAGCTCCAGCAATTTTTAAATCAGGTTGACTCAACACAATGGCTGAAAAAACACAGAGTAACCAGGACAAGAGGGGCCAAAGCAATTCCTAGTCAGCTCTCACAGACCAGGTTGCTCTAGGACCTTCCATTAACAGCAGCAGCCTGTTAGTCTAAATTACAGGTGACAACCCCACCTAGAACAAGTCCAGCCAACTGGGACCAGGAAAAGGGGCCCCACTTTGTGAGGGGATGTCAGATACTGCAGCATTACCTGAGCACTGAAGCTTC